ACTCCTGTGCGCATGCATGGGAGTGACGTCATCGCGGCTTGGACAAAGGACTGGAGCCCGCAAACCCGGAAGGAAGACCGGGGGAAGATGGAAGCCTTGTCAGCAGTGACAGATCATCCCTGGAGGGCTTTGTTCTAAGGTAAGTTTTTCATAATGTACTAGTATGTGATATATACTAGCGCATTATGCCATTGCCGTGCAGGGGATTTTTTTTTTTTTTTCTCAAAGGCTGCGGTTTACTACTGCATTAAAAACAAAAATATTGACCAAAATTCTACTAGTGTAAGGCCAGCTTAAAAAGAAGAAAGGAATAGAGACTCCACAGTAGACAATCAGTCTCAGAGTCGGAATTTTATCCTTTCCATTAAGCATCAAGGATTCAAACCAACGGGCATTTGGTGAGCGAACAGTGGAAAATCATTTATATCAGATGCTTTCATAAAATAAAGCAATTATGTTATTATCTACTAATCTTGGTATTTATGGGTGTTCAGTCTTTTGAAGTCTCCATGAGGTCCGGTATGGATTCTTAGTTGCAGCAGGAGTGCAGCATGGTGAGAACAGTCTTCATCGTTCTTTACAACAATCCATCCATACGACAGAGCAAAGATAGTGTATTAAACACATACAGGAGAAGGATGTCTCTTCATTTAAAAAGAACAAGTCATATTGCTGAGGCTCCAAATCTTGATTGATCCTACAGCACTTTAAATGACCCCTTCAAATGATTGTGGCCCTTAATGGCAAAAGCAGGGACCACTGCCTATTGCAGCCATTCAGATGCCAACTGTGAAAAAGGCATGGAGCTTGCCAGTGCTAATCTCCTTCTGGAAATGCTAGCTGCCTGAGTGTCACGCTGACTTCAGTTTCACAATCCATCAACTTGGCATGGGCCAAGAGTCCAACTTTAGTTCAGCTTGTTCTGCATACTTGCTTTGGGTCATAAGTCCACTGGACCAGCACAATAGCCAAGGAACTAACATTTTTGGATTGAAAGTTGGTAACAGCAGCCACAGTATTTTTCTCATGACAGGTTTACTTTTAAGTGTTACTACCCTCCATTCACTCTATCTGGTCTCCCACAGTACACACAACATGGAAATGCAATTATTTTAGTGAATATAAACTGCTAAAAACCTTTTCTCATCAGCAGTATATAGAAGGCTTGTGACATCTATCAGTGTTCAGCAGAGCATAGGCTAAAGCTTGTAGATGAAGTTTTCATTTCGCTCTAGGAGGATGCACGACCCCTGACCTCTGTGCTGATTGGCCCTGTGCTGGTTACATGCACACTCCCAAGAAAATAAAAAACCTCTCTAGCAATACACACCAAACTGAGCATGTGCAGAATGACTCCACACAACATTTCTTATCAGAAGCTAAGGGGGGGGGGGGGGGGCACTGGAAGAAGGGAAGGATCAGGAAAGTCAGCATTTTTACACAATGCAGAGGATTAGCCCTGTAGCTTCTACAGTGAGTGTAACAAGCATGGTTTACTGCATATACAGACTGAATTTACTGTTATGAGATTAGTATCACTTTAAAGCAAAAAGCACATAAGGAAATAGCAGTAAACGCACCACTGACATCTCTGCTTAAAGTAAATCTTGGCCTTGCTCATGCAACAGGTTCTCTTTATTGGCAGGCCCACCATCTGCTAATACTTGCAAATGTGGGAGGGCTTCAATAGTACCGGAAGGGGTGGAGCTCAGAGGGACAGCCCCCTCGGGCAATTTAGGAGGCCATCTGGGCCTGTCCTATTGTTGCTAGACCTCAGATGTCCATCGTTCAACCCTCGTCTTTCTGCCTGGCAAAATCACTAAGACTGGCTGTCATTCTGACAGCCTGGTCCCACTCTGTGCTGCAGGGTCACAAGACAGTGGCTCCTCTGTAAATGCAGCCTGTGAATAGTGTTGGCTTTATTGGTAAGTGAATATACTAAAATTTTAGTGTCATAAAAACAGTGGGGTAGATTTACAAACACTGGTGCACACAGAATCTGGTACAGCCATACATAGTAATCAATCAGCATCCAGGTTTTACTATCAAAGCTTAATTGAACAAGCAGAAGTTAGAAGCTGATTGGTTACAATGTACAGCTTCACCAGTTTTAGTAAATTTCCCCCAGTATCTAATTTAGTGCAGTGACAATATGCAAAGTTTAAAGTGGTTGTAAATGCTGAAGGTTTTTTTTACCTTCACGCATTATATGCATAAAGGTAAAAAACCTTCTGTGTGCTGCTCCCCCAACAGCCCCCCTAATACTCACCTGAGCCCCCTCTCGATCCAGTGATGTGCACAAGAGCCACGGCTGTCCTGGGACTCCCTCTCCTCATTGGCTGAAACTGCAGCAGGAGCCACTAGCCAGTTAGCCAATGTGAAGGCTCTATGTGTCTTATGGATGGATAGAACTAGGCTTGGGAGCAAGCACGCACCAGTGCCCCTATAGCAAGTGGCTTGCTACTGGGGGCACTGGTCAAGGACGACGAGCCAGAAACGCTGGTGGGGGACCTAAGAAGAACATTGGGGCTGCTCTGTGCAAAACAATTAACAGATATGTCATACTTACCTGCTCTGTGCATTTATTTATTTATTAAAGCTGAAGCTTTAATACCAAGTTAATTCCTCAGCTGATCACAGTTACATTGTGGAATTAGAGGGAATTATTCTCGTCTTCAACCTGCTGCTTTTGGGGTTCATTCAGCCATATAAGCATGACTACTGGTGCAGGGGGACCTGAACTGAAAACAGCCCAGGACCTAAGGCCCTCTTGTGGCACTAAAAGTTGTATTAAACCCAAAAGCAAACATTTATTATAATGCAGCTTACCAATTCTTACCAATGTGATGGCTGCATTAGTTTACTTTTTTAGTCTTTCTTTCCTATATTTTCATGTTGTGATCCAGCCAGTAACTATTGTTTTGCAGCAAAACAAGCTCTGTTGCAATTACGGGGATCATTTACCACTGACAAGGGTGCTTAAAATGATCAGCTTTATGTAAAACCCTTATCCCAAAAGGAAAAAAACTGTATGCTATAACTAATCAAAGTATGAGCCGGAGTTTGATTCAATTTGTTAAATCTGCTAGTCCCTCCCCCTAGACCAAGAGTGTCCAAACTGGCGGCCCTCCAGCTGTTGCAAAACTACAAGTGCCATCATGCCTCTGCCTTTGGGAGTCATGCTTGTAACGGTCAATCTTGCAATGCCTCATGGGACTTGTAGTTTGGCAACAGCTGGAGGGCTGCCAGTTTGACACCTGTGCCCTAGACTGACAACGCTGCTATCCAAATGTGCCCCCTGTGCTCCTTCATCCAGAGTGGGGGCAATCTAATACAGAAGGTGTGTTACTGGACAGATCGCCAAGTGAAAACAGGGGGGAAAAAAGATTAAAAAAGAAGAAGAAGAAAAAAGAAGAAGAAAACTAATGCAGCCTCCACATCGAACGATTGGTAAGCTGCAATAGATTACATTTTTGGTTTTGGATTTACCATTACCGTCCAAAAAAGTGCCTCTCTTTTCTGCTGGCTTCCTCTTAGACCTCATTTCCTCCAGCAATGCAAAGTTCTATAGCCAGAAGAGGACTATGGGAACATTGCGATGATTTTCCCTGCCGCCTGTCTACTTCCCAGTAGTTAGTGCTCTTGCGCCGATTGTTTTATGTCCGTAGAATGTCACATTTCTATATAGCTGCACTGAAATCGTTTAAACTGAGGGGCAATTCATGGATTTAGGCCGAAGCTTCAATGGCTACATAGCAGCTCAGTCATCTTAATAAAAGTACCTGCAATTCATTTCTACTCTTACCGATGAATTGTTCACTGAAGGAACAAATGCATCCCTATGGTGTGAGCTACACAGTAGCAGCGATTAACTGCACATAATCACACAATGCTTTAGTTGCAGGCAAAGCTACTTGCTATAGTGCAGGTTATGCCAAATCTAAACATTTGTTCCATTTACTAACAATCAAACCGGAATCTAAGTAAAAGAAACAGCATGGCTGAGCTACTAATAACAGCCAGTGTAGCTTACACCTTCAAGCAGACCAGTACAGGAATGTGATTGTCTGCTGTGGGCAATACCGTCTGTTCCTTTTCTCCACGTTACACAAGGGCCCTGCTCTGTTCTCAGCTGTCCACTTACATCACATAGATAAGAAATGCTACAAAATCAAGTTCTATTATCTCTATAAACAATACATTCCCTTATAGAGATCAAGGTGACAGATTCTGGGAAGGTCCAGAAAACCATTACTATGCCAAGCTTTTCCATATGTCATTTGTAGCAAGGATTGCCCAGGCTATCATTCCGGGCCGTCACACTTCGGCTACACCCTACAGTGACTGATTCTTCAAAAGAATACAAGGCTTTCAAATAATACAAGATAACAGAAAAAGTAATAAAACACAAAAAATAACCGGGCAATGCACAATCTCTATAAAATCAATTGTGTTCTCTTATGAAATGCAACGTGAAATTCAAACAAAGAAACACTTAGTGGCTTAGGCCCAATGGCCCGAGCGATGAGGCAGCTGAAATGCACTGTGGCCTTTCCCTTGAGCAACTTGGGTGCTACATTTATCATCAATGTAGTCATCTAACATGTGGCATAGAATGATGAGCACTTCAGGGTTCTGAACAGGTTTTCACAAAGCAGCTCCAAGGCCAGAAATGTCTTTAGTGCATTGGCTGGTCATGAAGGCCAGAGCAGAGGCACGTGGGAAAGCACGGCAAGTCCCGGCCATATGCCTGTAGAATAATCCTTCAATTAGGAGTGTACAAGGCATGCTTAACATGGTAACACTTCACCAAAAATGTCTGTCCATGTAACACATGTAGAAAGTAGCTGACCTGTCCTCAGGCAAGCTCCGATCAGCGCCAACTGTGTTGGCGATACCGTGAGCCTGATGGAGTGAAGTGTCCAGGTCACCATATTGTAAAGTCATATACAGCCATTAAGGAAAACTGGATCCCCTGGGGCTGAGGCCTGTGCACATACTCATTTGGAATCCTGAAGCTCCTTGGCTTTTTTCAAGATGGGCAGCACATCTCCATCAGACAGGGGGTAATCCTGCAAGAGAGAAAAAAGTGTATTCAAGATCAGGGTGGAGGTTAAGCAGTAATCTTCAGTGAATTCTCTAACAAAAGAATATTTTGTTTTTTCACAGAGTAATCATTATTAAAGTGATTTTAAATCCTCACATATATCCAGTGAAGTGATTGGCCTCAGGTGATCTAAGCAGATGAAAAAAAATCCGCCTACATAAGTTGTACCTGTTTATCCGCAGTCGTCTTATCTCTACATATGTTCAAAGTCCAAAATGTGTACAGCATGTTTGAGAAAGAAGGGGGCTAGGAGCTGAAGTTCCACTCTGCAGAGCTCAGTAAGAGCTGATTGGAGAGAAGGGACACATCCCTAGCACACAAGAACAGAGCTGAGGCTGTCAATCTCAAGCTGTGTGCTGGAAGTCCCTCCCGTCACCTTTTTTCTCTTGGTGTCAGGAAAACGTGTCAGAAGTAACTCATGAAGATAGCATAGGAATGCGGCAGAAGATAGAAAATGACACATAGGGGTAGACTTACTAAAACTGGTGCACTTAGAATCTGGTGCAGCTGTGCATGGTAGCCAATCAGCTTCTAACTTCAGCTTGTTTAATCTGGCTTGGAAAATAACACCTGAAAGGCAATGATTTCTCTATACAGCTGCACCAGATTTTGCACTCTCCGGTTTATTAAATAAATCCCTTAAAGGATAAGTTCACCTTTGCGAACATGTTCCACCCATTTTTAGGGTGGAACATGTAACATGTTTCCAATGCTGCAGCTACGCCCCCTCCCTCTGACACATAATACAGGGGGAAGTTTCCCCGTACTATCTGTCAGATTTGAAAACAGCGTGGCGTCAGGGCTTCACCCACATCATTCATTCATGGAATTCCTTGAATGAATGAACTGCAAGTCCCGGCAGCCTTAGCGGTTGTTGGCTTGTAGTTTTCAATGAACACTGAAGTTCATTGAAGCTTCCTGTCAGTATATCTGCTTGGCTGTACATCCCGTACATCAAGCAGATATTCTGACAGGTGCAGGAGACTTGTATGGCATCAGCCATCTGCTGATCGTTGGTGCAGTGCTTTACAGGCTCCTTTGGACAAAAAAATAATAAATGCACATTTTTTACCTGCAAAAAAAATTTGCATTTATTATTTTTGTCCAAAATGTGAACTTATCCTTTAATGCTCTGGACTGAGACAAGTACACACTATGAAGAGATATGCTTTTTAATATTTCATGTCTGAGGTTTACAACCACTTTAATTCATACCAAGGTAAAAAAAGAAGTGAAAGAGAGTGAAATAGAGAGGAAAATTAAAGAAAGGAAAAAAAAAAGAGTGAGGGAGAGAAAAAAAAAAGAGAAAGTAAAAAAGAGAAAGGGTTTGTGAAAGAAAAAAAATGAGTGGAATAAAAAAAGAGGAGAGGAGAGAGCAAAAAAGAGAGGGTGTGTGAAAGAAAAGAGAAGAAAAGAAAAGAAAAGGAAAAGTGAAAGAGAGAGAGAAGTAGTAAGCAAGAGAGAGGTGAGAGAGAGGGAAAGAAAGAACAGAAAAACAATCAGGGAGAGAGTAAAATGGAGAAAGGGAATAAAGACAGGTGCTTTATAAAAAGGGACAGGTAGATGGTGACACAGACATAAAAAGGAAGGATGTTGTGCAGCATAGGAAGTGCAAGACACTGAAACATGGTACAGCACGTTCTCTATCCTTGTCTCATCTCTGTTATGCTCACCTGGAGTAGCCTCATGTTCACTGTAAAGTCTCCCTCTAATAACTGATCACGGATCAATCTGAAAAAAAAAACAAACATTTAGCATTGATTGGAGAACAATGACAGTGGAAACAGAAATTGGAAAACTCTGCAATGTCCTCTGTGCTCAGAAACATAGAAAGGCCTTACTTTCCCCTATTAGCAAAAGTAAACCCTCGCCAAGCTGTTGGTATTATTTAGTAATATCTGTCCCTTAATATATACCAGGGCTCCCAGAGTGCCATCATATCAGTATTACAGCTGTCATATCTCATTTGGCCTACAATGACTATCAATGAAATGTGACATAATATATGTGACAATTATAGAATGGAGATTTTGCTGCTGGGGTATGCAAGACAGAAGAAGCCAGCAGCTTACACAGCTAACCAGGCACCTAGTACTAAAATATCCCTTCTGGGTTGACTAACCTTTTAAATAATTAGGTATAATTAAGTATTTAGTGTTTAAGGGTAAGCATAAAAATACACTATATTGCCAAAAGTATTGGCACACCCCTCTAAACCATTGGATTCAGGTGTTCTAATCCTCTCCATGGTCACAGGTGTATAAAATCATCACCTAGGCATGCAGACTGCTTCTACAAACATTTGTGAAAGAATGGGTCGCTCTCAGGAGATCAGTGACTCCAAGTGTGGTCCCGTGATAGGTTGTCACCTGTGCAATAAGTCCATCCGTGACATTTCCTTGTTACTAAATATTCCACGGTCAACTGTTAGTGGAATTATAACAAAGTGGAAGCAACTGGGAACAACAACAACTCAGCCATGAAGTGGTAGGCCACATAAAATGGCAGAGCGAGGTGGGGCATGCTGAAGCGCACAGAATAGCCAACTGTCTGCAGAGTCAATGGCTAAAGACCTCCAAACTCCGTGTGGCCTTCAGAGTAGCACAACAGTACATAGAGAGCTTCATGGAATGGGTAGCTGCATCAAGCCTTACATCACCGTGCAATGCAAAGCGTCAGATGCAATGGTGTAAAGCACGCTGCCACTGGACTCTAGAGCAATGGAGACGTGTTCTCTGGAGTGACAAATCACGCTTCTCTGTCTGGCATTCGGATGGACATGTCTGGGTTTGGCAGTTGCCAGGAGAACGGTACTTGGCAGACTGCATTGTGCCAGGTTTGGTGGAGGGGGATTATGGTGTGGGGTTGTTTTCAGTGGTTGAGCTTGGCCCCTTAGTTCCAGTGAAGGGAACTCTTAAGGTTTTAGCATACCAAGACATTTTGGACAATTTCATGCTTTCACCCTTGTGGGAATAGTTTGGGGATGGCCCCTTCCTGTTCCAACATAACTGCGCACCAGTGCACAAAGCAAGGTCCATAAAGACATGGATGAGTGAGTTTGGGGTGGAGGAACTTGACTGGTCTGCACAGAGTCCTGACCTCAACCCGATAGAACACCTTTGGGATGAATTAGAGCTGAGACTGTGAGCCAGGCCTTCTCATCCGACATCAGTGCCTGACCTCACAAATGCGCTTCTGGAAGAATGGTCAAACTTTCCCATAGACACCCTCCTAAACCTTGTGGACAGCCTTCCCAGGAGAGTTGAAGCTGTTATAGCTGCAAAGGGCGGGGCCAACTCAACATTGAACCCAACGGACTAAGACTGGGGGGCCATTAAAGTTCATGGGCGTGTGAAGGCAGGTGTCCCAATACTTTTGGCAATATAGTTTATATCTGTTGCAGCTGAAATGCTAACATAGAACATGCTAGCCTGTGGCTCTTCGTTTACGAATTCTATATGATTTATACTTTCACTTATCTAGAGAATCATTTTAAGATTTAGCTTGAAGTGGTACTAAAGCCTAATTGTTTTTTTACTTTAAAAGGAGAACTGTTTGTCTCCCCCCCCCCCCCCTCCACTTCCACATTTTGCACTTTTTGGGGGGGAGCGTCATGGAGGTCTGAGCCAAAAGTTTGGCCCCTCCTCTCTTCCCCTGCAGCCTTCTGTGATACTTCACAGGTTTCAGAAGACTGCGGGAAAGTTCACAGAGAGCAGCACGCTAAGCGTATGCTCAGTAGGAATCTGGCTGTGAAGCTGCAAGGCTTCACTGAGGGTTCCCTTACTTAAGATGCCGGCACCTGCACCAGAATCCGATTGGAGAATCGGCTCAGGTGAGGAAATCGCTGAACTCCTAGACAGGTAAGTGTCTTTATGTTAAAAGTCAGCAGCTACAGTATTTGTAGCTGCTTACTTTTACATTTTCCTGGGGAGCCTGCAGCTCTGCTTTAAAGTAGAACTATAGGCATTTTTTTTTCATTTTGGATAGAGAACATGAAGGGTTATAACCCGTCAGATTTTTTTTCGCCATCTGTGTCCCATTGGAGAGATTTCCCTTCACTTTCTGTCCCATAGCCAAACAGGAAAAGAGAGGAATCCCTGCAAATTATGGGAATTGCTTGGGGACCCTCCAGGTCACCAGAACTAGTGTCCCTATTGGAAGATTTCCCCTCTATTACTTCTCTTGGCTCAACCCAAAATGTGGGGTTTTCTTTTACTTTCAATGACAAGAGTAAACAGGACAAATAGATAGGGTGAATCCCCTTAACGGGGACATAGACAGCAATAAAAACTGACAGGCATTATAATCTCTCTCCGCTCTATCCAAAACAAAAAAAGGTTTTGCCTTTAGTTATACTTTAAAGTGGTTCTGAAGACAGAAGGTTTATTTAGTTTTCAGCATTTCTAAAAAACCTTCTGTGTGCTGTTCCCCCCACAGCCCCCTCTCGATCCAGTGATGTGCATGAGAGCTTTGGCTGTCCACAGACTGTGTGTGTGTGTGCGTGTGTGTTAGGGATTAGCCAGGAGCGCCGGAGGGGGAACTGAGAAGAGGAGGATCAGGGCTGGTCCATGAAAAACCATTGCACAGAGCAGGTAAGTATTAAAAATATGTTAATAAAAAAAAAATCTGAACTTTTAAATACCATTTTAATGCATTCTCACACCCCACTACCTGTCCTAACCAACCACCTCTGCCCATTCCCAAACACTTACTTGGCTTGAGACAAGGAGTGTATTAGGAGTAAAGCTGGCTAGACACTTATTTTTTTCATTTTTTTTTTGAAGAAAAACATAACAGATTCCCCCATTCACACAAACAAGGTGAATGGAGGTAACCTCCTGCCCCCCAAACATTGTATTCATGTCCCTTTCACAGACGTCTAGCAAATCAATCTATGTCGAGCGAGGACATCAACACACTGACAGAAATTCAGCTAGTCCCTTCTGGCTGTGCTGTTACTTTAGTAACACTGTGTCAGGACTACATAACACCTCCCTCTCTTACAGGGCGATTTGTGTGTTTTGTAGTCTGTAGAGATAGCAAGGAGAAAAGCTAACTAATAACTGTCCAGACACAGAGAGCACAGGTAGTTCAGCTCCCAAGATTTCTGGCTATTTCTTTTAAACTTGAACAGATATAATAAAACACTTATAATGGTATATTTAACAGACCAATACAAGAGCAAATGAAAGATGTTTATTGTTAGCATTTACAGTATCTCACAGAAGTGAGTCCACCCCTCACATTTTTGTAAATATTTTATTCTATCTTTTCATGTGACAACACTGAAGAAATGACACTTTGCTACAATGTGACGTAGTGAGTGTACAGCTTGTATAACATGTAAATTTGCTGTCTCCTCAAAATAACTCAACACACCGCCATTAATGTCTAAACTGCTGGCAACAAAAGTGAGCCCACCCCTAAGTGAAAATGTACAAATTGGGCCCAAAGTGTCAATATTTTGTGTGGCCACCATTATTTTCCAGCACTGCCTTAACTCTCTGGGACATGGAGTTCACTAGAGCTGCACAGGTTGCCACTGGAATCCTCTTCCACTCCTCCATGACGACATCACAGAGCTGCTGGATGTTAGGGACCTTGCACTCCTCCACCTTCTGTTTGAGGATGCCCCACAGATGCTCAATAGGGGTTAGGTCTGGAGACATGCTTGGCCAGTCCATCACTTTACCCTCAGCTTCTTTAGCAAGGCAGTGGTGGTCTTGGAGGTGTGTTTGGGGTCTTTGGTTGGAATACTGCCCTGTAGCCCAGACTCTGAAGGGAGGGGATCATGCTCTGCTTTGGTATGTCACAGGACATGTTGGCATTCATGGTTCCCTCGATGAACTGTAGCTCCCCACTGGCGGTAGCAGTCATGCAGCCCCAGACCATGACGACACTCCCACCACCATGCTTGGCTGTAGGCAAGACACACTTGTCTTTGTACTCCTCACCTGGTTGCCACCACACACACTTGACACCATCTGAACCAAAGAAGTTTATCTTGGTGTCATCAGACCACAGGACCTGGTTCCAGTAATCCATGTCCTTAGTCTGCTTGTCTTCAGCAAACTGTTTGCGGGCTTCTTGGGCATCATCTTTAGAAGAGGCTTTCTTCTGGGACGACAGCCATGCAGACCAATTTGATGCAGGGTGCGGCATATGATCTGAGCACTGACAGGCTGACCCCCCACCCCCCTTCAACCTCTGCAGCAATGCTGGCAGCACTCATACATGTATTTCCCAAAGACAACCTCTGGATATGACGCTGAGTACGTGCACTCAACTTCTTTGATCGACCATGGCGAGGCCTGTTCTGAGTGGAACCTGTCCTGTTAAACCGCTGTATGGTCTTGGCCACCATTCTGCAGCTCAGTTTCAGGGTCTTGGCAATCTTCTTATAGCCTAGGCCATATTTATGTAGAGCAACAATTCTTTTTTTCAGATCCTCAGAGAGTTCTTTGCCATGAGGTGCCATGTTGAACTTCCAGTGATCATTATGAGAGAGTGAGAGCGATAACACCAAATTTAACACATCTGCTCCCCATTCACACCTGAGATCTTGTAACACTAACGAGTCACATGACACCGGGGAGGGAAAATGGCTAATTGGGCCCAATGTGGACATTTTCACTTAGGGGTGTACTCACTTTTGTTGCCAGCGGTTTAGACATTAATGGCTGTGTGTTGAGTTATTTTGAGGGGACAGCAAATTTACATGTTATACAAGCTGTACACTCACTACGTCACATTGTAGCAAAGTGTCATTTCTTCAGTGTTGTCACATGAAAAGATATCAAATATTTACAAAAAATGTGAGGTGTGTACTCACGTCTGTGACATACTGTATAGGAACTTCAATGTTCCTGCAAGTAGATTTGCTGTTGCTGACAACTAGAAAACATTAGCCCAATAATTTCTGCAACACTTACATAAGCATGGCACAGGAAACTTTCAGAAGGAAGTCAAATCTGTTCTCATCAGCAAATAGAGAATCCCAGATACGGATGACATCAGGAAGCACAAACTCCTGTGAAAGCAGCAATGTCAGCCAGCGGAAGGCAAAGAACTGTGGCTTGATGTTCTGTTCTTGCTGCAAAGAGATAATTCAACACAGTGATGCACCAGTGTACTGCAAGGAAGAGCTATCCTTCTATAACATAACTATTCTCCATAGTGAACAGGGATATTATTATCATATGATTGTATAACTGAAGTCATTTTTTTAAAAAGAGAAGTAGGGCTTTCCCCCCCCCCTATTTATACTTACCTATGTGGATGCAGCATCAGTCCGATGTTACATCTGTCCCCCGCCAGCTCTAAGGGGGAGCAGAGAGCAGGACTGTCATTCACTGCCATCTGCTCAGCCTCTCCAGCACTCACTGGAGCACTAGGCTGTGATGGGGGAGGCAGCAGCTGGCTCAGGATTTCAGCGCTTCGCTGAGCCAGGTGCTAATCCAGACTCTGGGGTGGATCCCGACTTTGCAGTTGAGATCTTTCCCCAGCCCGCACCGTCTGGGTGACGTCAGCAGACTTCAGTCCACTGTCAGCTGAAACCAGGTCACATGAGTGCAGAATGAACCTGTGATCCACAGAAGTACAGCCAAAAAATATTTGGCTGTACTTCTCCTTTAATTCCTAACTCCTTTAGTAAATTAGACTATGTATAAAGGCAAAATCAGCGCAGCACTAACCTTTTCATGCAATATATTCATATTTACCAATTTAAACTGGTGTGTGCAATTTTTTTCACTAATTTTCACCAAAACTGTAGTCTATCAATATCATTTTGTAGACATATTTTACTAAATAATAAAGACTTTTTTCTCCTAGCCACCTGGAACTTCATGAGATTCCCCAAGCTCAAGGCTTTCAAAAGGCAAATCTGACCCGCAGATTCTCAATCAGCACTATTTTTTTTTTCCTATTTCAATACATTTTATGGTTTTCCAATGAGAAAAATAAACAGGCTCATAGTCTGCCCGTGCAGGGGCTCAAGTGTTTAAGCAAACATAAAATGACTAGCAGAAGCCATGTAAACAACGGAAATATTCCAAAACAAAAACAGAACCACAGGGGTTTCAAAACCTAAGGTCAATGTAGCAGAACCCCTAGGGCTAAAATGTTGCCATCTCAGGGCGGGTACACTCACAGGGGGTACACTTGTGGGTGCTAACCGCCTACAAGAGTATGATCTTCCGAGAGAAGAAACTGGAAAGAAACAAAGAATAAAAAAAGAGGAAACCGGGGGGGAGATAGAAGGAAAGCAAAGCGAAGGGAGCAGGAAACAGGACTTCTTGGACTCCACGCCGCAGGTAGTGATTACAGCAGGCCAGAACACACCAAGTGAAGCATGGGAAACAAATTGCAGCTCCACGGTTCCTTGACTTCAAGAAATTTGGGGTGTGAATCTTTCAAAATACTACACATTTGCTTGTTAAGCATCAGAACGGTCATATGTGCTTTCACACCCTGAAAGACAACAGATGGGGTCTTCCAGGCCCGGGCAATGGTCCACGTGGCTGAGGTAAAAAGGTAGAAGGCCAACTTTTGTTGATGAGCATATAAGGCCAGGTATGGAACAATGCAGTAGGGCCAGCTTAACATCTTTGCCAACCGTCAGGTGGAATAGGGTCTTTAGTAGGCCAAACACCCTGGACCAGAACCCCACCAGTTGTGGGCAGCACCACCCAGATGACCACAATTTCTAAAGCATCTGTTGCTACATCCAGGGTATGCATGCACAACCTAGGCAGGGACCCAGTACCACCGCAGGAGAACCTTCTCCTGGTATTTAGCAGTTTATATTTACTAAAATAATTACATTTCCGTGTTCTGTGTACTGTGGGAAACCAGATATAGTGAATGCAGGGTCCTGACTTTAAAGCATTTGGTGACTGCTGTTCAAGCCTTGCTTCAATCTTCCATATTAATGGAGGTCTGGAGATCCCACTCCCATATCCCACTCCCATTGAGTCATACAAGAAAAGGGTGCTGAGGACAGATGGCTGTTCAGGGACACAGACGGCTGAGATGAGACCATGGGATCCCACGGAAAGTTGGCAAGTGTGTTCAAAATGGGTATTGCAAAATGGGTAAGTAGAGCTGTGAGTTACTTATGCTGCTTGCATTAGTAAATAGATAGGAAAATATCATATTTATTTGTTTTATACCTTTTTTTTTCCCACATTTGTTAAGTTACTTCCTGGTTTCCAGACCTAGGCAAATGATGTCATACATCCTAGGAGTGTTCAGGAAGGGGTTTGCTGAGCTAAGAACACCCTGCTGCCTGCATGACTGAGGTAAGAGCAGATGGATTCCAAGAAGTATTTACCAAAGGAATCATCTGCCCTTACGCAAGATGGTCACAACCAGAAACGCTAGGGGCTAAGTGATTTCTCAGCAAAATAAAGGACACATGGATAGATGGGTCAGTTGAATAACAAAATTTAATAATACAGCGTTTTTGGTTTCTGGAGCTCAGATGATGAAGTGTAGTACTGCTTTAACTTTCGGCAACCCACCCCACCCTCCTCCCTTGCAAGCATTCTGAGCATTAAACCTATGGATGAAGAAAAGGAAGGGCACATGGCAAAGATCTGACTGCAGAGCTAAAGCATGCCATCTGCAAACCAAATGCTCCAGGTCTGGAGACCACTCAGGCAGCTTAGTAAGATAAAGCAGGATTTCTGGGCTCACTGTAAAATCCTTTTCTTGGAGTCCATTGTTGGAGACCAGAAGTCTTAAACCTTGCGGTTGTACTGGTGCCTACAGGACTGGACACTGGCAAACAAAAAATTGCAGGCCAGCCCAAACTCTCAAGCTACCAACAAGCCTCACATTTGTAGCAAAGGAGTTCCGAGAGCATGATCATAAACACAGATCATAGATTCAGAGGGGTGGGGTATGTGTCCCTCAGTGGACTCCTAGAAAAAGGTGTGTAAAAAATTTTCTTTTTTTCCTCATCCTTTGAAGCTGGAAGTCTTAAACCTTCACTATTTCCAAAAGCAATCCATCTGAAGGGTGGGAAACACAGAAAAAATGCTAACAGGCCAAGGAAAGAACAGAAAACTGGGGACTGTCTGCAGATCAGAGAGCTGCATGAATGACCTTACGCTTGAAGATCCTACAAGTCCATGTGCTTCAGGCTGAGGAAGTCTAACTGCCATTTGTCTATGCCTGAAACATACACAGCTGACAAAAATGAACACGATATGCTTCTCAGGACAGGATCTTTTCTACCTTTCCTCTGCGGCAAGACCTTTGGTTCCTCCTTAAAGATTGATGTATAATTGTTAGATTGAATCCGGATCGGATGAGCCAGTAGGATGGTCCAATGCTGTTGAAACAGTCAAATTGCCTGAAGTTCCAATATGTTGATCAAGAGATGAGACGCCTCCAACCACCATGTCAGGGAATGCCTAGGACTCCTCTTAAGCTGGTGTCCGTCAAGAGGATCCTCCAAAAGATGGGAAGAAAGGACTTTCCTGATTCCACAGCCACATTCTGCAACTAGCATATAACTTAACCTGTTCAGAGACTGGATTGACTTGTTCCATGTCATTAGGGTATGTTGTGTTGTAGAGGTCTGGAGTAAAACTGGGCAAAAGGGACTGCCTTGAAAGAGGCCACCATCAAACCCATGCAAAAACAGAGTTGGACATCAACTCAGACGGTAGATTTCAAATCTGTTTGGAAGACCATGTCTGAGCTGACTTACCAGCTTGAGATACAACTCCTCATCTTCTTCCTTTAGCATTGAGTACACTCGCTCCATCTTAGCGGTTATTCCACACTGAGAGTCATCCAGGCTTTTGATGAAGTTGTCCCGGATTTCTGCCATTAGGTTAGTGAAGCAAAAGAAGGTATCTGCTTCTGCATGTTCTATTTTGAGAAAAAGATAGTATACATTATAATACCTAATATTAGGGTAACAAGAAAGCCACCTTTGTCACCTCTCTTTGCCTTTACAATTTTTACCCAGGAGGCACCTGGAGGAAAGCACTCATCTATTTCTGCATCCTAAACACTGGGGTCTTTATTCTCTAAAAATCATTGGATGCTAAATTATCTAACCACTTAATGTAAACCTGTATTTTGCCAATGCAGATTAAAGATACAGGTTCACTAATGCCATCATCATCAGCTGCGCCTGCTTCCCACTGGCAGTGAACACAGCAAGCCACAAATAAGTCACAACTTTGAGCTTACACAGAAATAGGTACCGTCCTCCAACCCCGATGTGACAGCAAAAAAAAAAAAAAAAAGTATGCACTACTGATAGGACTTGCATTACAGGAAATCTATAGAGCTGCATGGGCAAAGTACTGGTTTCCCTGTTCACATGGATTTTATCAATCTCTATAATTTCCCCCAGACTGCCAGGTGGGCTGCAGCTCTCCCCCCTCTCTAGACTCATGAAAGTTCACCCATTGCAAACAAGCATGCTTGTAGAAAGATCCTTTGTTAGACAAATTGTTGTGCATCCAAACACCATCTAATATCTGTACAAAGGATCATTTGTTAACTGAATGTAGCTATCTAAAAAATGCCACCTGGGCTGTTTTTTATTATTTTTTTTTTTACATCAATCTCTTGTTTACCTTCTACAGGCTTCAGTTTCTATTCTGATCCAGGAAGGGGATTGGGGGATTCAATATAACATGCTCTGCTTACTTTGCATCACCCTCCCTACATGTGGGGTGTGTCGGTGGCTACACAGTTCAGTCCCCCAGGGGCCTCTGCACACAGTGGTCACAGACCCTAGGTGTTTTAAAAAAAACTGCAAGTGAATTCACAAAGTCTTGGCATTCTCACCTATTAACCGCTTTCCCGACGCCCTATAGCATATATATACACCAGGGGCGGAGTGACCAGTTAGGAATTCGGGCACAGCCCGAGGGCCCAGGGTCAGTAGGGGGCCCAATGAGATGCCCCTGGTACCTTTCATAGGCTTTTTTGGGTGTGGTTTGAGTGTGGGCGAGGATACAGCGGCCCCATGATCCCCTATTGCCCAGGGGCCCCATGAGTTGTCAGTCCGCCCCTGATATACACACACATATATATATATATGTATATGCGTGTGTGTGTGATATTGCGCAGCCTTGCGCCCTGTAGCAGTATATCTGCGCCCTCGACCCGGAAATGCAAAATCACACACACGTGATTTTGCATTTCCAGGTCGAGGGAGCGCATGCATGCCCTACCCGCACCACCATTGGCAACTTCAGCTGTCAATCACCGAGTCCCAGCCGGTGATTCCCTCGCCGGCACCCAGGGATCACTGAGTATCACTGATGGGGGAGAGCATTAGTAAATAGATATGATATACTTTCCTATTTATTTGTTTTAAACTTTTACATTTCTTCAGTTACTTCCTGGTTTCCAGGCCTAGGGAAGGAGGGGGTTTCTCAGCTAAGCACACCCTACTGCCAGCATGTCTAAACTAAGGGCAGATGGATTCCAATAAGTAAATGCTATATGAATCATCCGCCCTTACTCAAGATGGCCACTGCCACCAATGCTAGGGGGTGTATTTTGAAGTGATTTCTCAAAAACAATAAAGCACAAAACATGAAAGGGAGAGTTTGCTTTAAATATTAAAAATTAATTATATGCTGTTTTTGGTTTGTTTTGCTCACATGCCATGTAGTTCCCCTTTAAGCAATTAGTACTACTTTGATTGAAGCATGTTACTTGCACTGCAGCACACCTTACTGGCACCTAGTGTTTCTTCTTCTCCCCCCAAACTGAACTCTGCTGTACAGGGACTGCAAGAGGCAGATACCAAGTCACATTCAGGTATTTAAAAATACATTTAATCAGGTTTTAAAGAAAACACAGCTGCATTATTAGGTCTTTTATATCTGCCTGAAGTTCATATATTTTTTCTTCAATGATATACAGTTTGTACTAGTAAATGGAGAACATAATGCAGTTCACAGTCATTTACGGACTTAGATCCGCTTACATAGGACTGACATAGCAGGAACAAGACTATCGGGCAGAAAGATGCCTTGGTTTTACCTCACCTTTCCATGTGCTATTGGGGTTGGTGGCAAATGTGTAATAGATTGGCCCAACTATCTCATTCATTCCTTGCACATAGGCGATACCGGGGTTCAGCTTGGCATAGATGAAAAGGATTCGTTCTACCACCTCCCAATGGGCCTCACAGCCACTGGGCAGCGGCTCCAAGTCACTCAGGGAATGAGAAGCTGATGTCTTCATAGGAGAACTCACCTGTATGGAACATGAGAGGAAAAAAGAAATTAGATATCTTTTTCTGGGGGCAGGTGGACCTAAAATATGAGTGATAACATGAAAACACTACCATTCTTTTAACCACTTCCAGACCGGACACTTTTACCCCCTTCCTGTCCAGGGCAATTTTCAGCTTTTAGCGCTATCACACTTTGAATGACAATTGCGCGGTCATGCAACACTGTACCCAAATGAATTTTTTACCATTTTTTTGAGACAGATAAAGCTTTATTTTGGTGGTATTTATTTACCACTGGGATTTGTATTTTTTTTGCTATGTAAATGAAATGTCCAAAAATTTAGAAAAAAAGTGTTTTTTTTATAAAATTTTGCAAATAAATAATATTTCATCATAAATCTTAGCCAAAATTTATTCCGTTATCTTTTTAGTAAAAAAAAAAAAATCCAAATTAGTTTATAAGCAAAAATTATAATTTTTAAACATTTTTTTTACATTTTTATTTTTTTTTTATATTATTATTTTTTATTTTTTTTTTTTTTTTTACATACTGTCACCCTAGCAGTACAGTGTCACCATGGTGACACTGTACTACTTGTGGGGGGTGATGAAGATTTTTTTTTTTTTTTTTACACTGATTGCTTTTACACCCATATAGGATGTAAAAGCAATAATTTCTCTTTCTCTCTGTGTGCATTCTTGCACTCATTGAGAAGTACTGAGTGAGCTGTGATTGGTCACAGCTTGTCACATGGTACAAGGCTTTTGTGAATAGCCTTGTACCATGTGACCTCTGTGATCATTCACAGATTTTCACACGTAGTAAGCAATGATGTCACAAGTGACATCTTGCTTACTACTTTGCATGTGATCACTGATTGGCCAATCAGTGATCACATGATCGGGACCTCGTATAGAGGTCCCGTCCGACGATCGGTGTTTCACTGTGTCCGGAGGACACAGCGGGCACCGGATCGCGGTGCTGCGCGCTCCCAGGGAGCGCGCACAAGCAGGGTGCGGGGAGGCCGTTTATAGACGGCCACCCGACCCTGCACTGCCACCGTCCGGCCATTTATATACAACGGCCGGACGGGAGGTGGTTAAGCATGTTTAAACAGTAGCATGTGTAGATACTATTGGCCCCTTGGGGTCCAAATTTTGGTTTTCCTTTGGCCAACCTTATGGTGTATCAGATGTTTCTCTGTGCCTGTAGTTCCCCTCCTGTCCACTATATAACCAGGCTCTGTGTTCAGCACTCATCACAGCCTCACAATAAGTCAACTGACAGCGCAGTGGCTGTGTCCAGCAACGTCTTGATGGCCAAAAACAGCATCAAGGGGGGAGGGTGGGAGCTGCTGATGTTACATCCAAGATGGCTGTACTCAGTAGTAGGTTGCTGCCAAACCAGCTGCTTACAAGATCTGTGCTTGTAATCACACTGGAAAAAATAACATTAAAAAGGTCCAGCTCACCTCTAGTCTATTCACCTTACTGTAAATCAAGCCCTGATGAAGAGGGCGCTCTTGGACCTCAAACGCGCTGACCACTTTCTGGATTGTCTCTGATTTTTATCGGAATAAGGTTGTATAGAGCGCTGTGCAAATTGTTGGCGCTATATAATTCCTGTATGATAATAATAATAATCTGGACCTCTTAGTGGTGAGGTGCTTCAATTTCCATTTTTGTTACATCCAAGATGGCGGCATCCAGCAGTAGACAGCGAGCAGTTTCTGCATAAGCACAGGGCAAACCTTTCCGAAGGTATCAACTGGCATAAGTAAGTTACCTGAATACTGGAACTAGATGGAAATGAGGTCTGATGAGGATAATGTGTGCAGTAAGTACATCCTAAGCAATAATGCCCAGCCACTGTTGGCGGGCATGCATGTAGACAGGAAGTGGCCAAAAGTGGCTGCAATAGATCAGCAGCACTGAGATTTAAAAAAAAAAAAAAAAAAAAAAAAAAAAAAGAAGAAGAGGAAAAACAACATGCCCATTGTTTATGATACAAAAGTGCTTTCGTAAACTAAATTTTATCCACTTAGGGCTTACAACTACTTCATGCAGGAATGGAAATCACATGTTCTGATTCACAGATGACCCAAATGTGAACTTACTGACAATACAGTATAGATTCCCTGTACAGTGTGCAAACTGTCACGTATAGATTATTAAAATATGTGTTTAAACAACTCAGCATGTAAAAAAAATGTAGATATACCGGTCTGAGCCCATTCTTACATTAGTAAGGCCGCTCCTGTTCCTTGCCACTGTCTGAGACTTGAGCGTTGTCTGTTCCACACGTTTTCTCAGGGTCTCGTATTCATTCTCGGGATCCATGATTAGCTGACAGGGGTAATCCGTGGGGTTCAGGAAAAATGAGAAGTCAGGACACAGTCTCCTGTGTGATCACAAGAACATAGGCAGCTTATGAAGACAGATGTTTAGATGGACTGTATACACAAAAATATCAGCAAGAGATATGGTTCCTATAGGAGAGAATGTTAGGCTGGGCACAAGCAGTACAGTTCTGTCTTAAAAGGTCACTGTCACCTTTCCAATTCAGGGCAAAATGGTCATGTTGGGCAGCACAGTGGCTAAATGGTTAGCACTTCCACCTGGCAGTACTCGGGTCGTTGGTTTCGAATCCTAGCCACGGCACCTCCTGCCTGGAGTTTGCATGTTCTCCCTGTGCCTGCGTGGGTTTTCCTCCAGGTACTCCGGTTTCCTCCCACACTCCAAAGACATGCTGGTAGGTTAATTAGATCCTGTTTAAATTGGCCCTAGTATATGAATGTAAGTTAGGGACCTTAGATTGTACACCCCTTGAGGGCAGGGACTGATGTGAATGTACAATATATATGTAAAGTGCTGCATAAATTGACGGCACTATATAAGTACCTGAAATAAATAAAATAAATGTCTGTATACAGGAACCCTCCCAACCCACTAATACTCCCCTTGTCCAGCTGCTTCTCCCATTGCATTAGTCAGCAAGAGTAACAGGTGACCTCCTCTCATGTGACTGTGCTTTGATCTAGCAGCCAATCGCTAGGCCCGAGTACAGTCACATGACAAAGGGAGTGATGTTTTTGCACCCTTTAGTGTCCAACACAGTAGATTTTGCTGGTGGCTGCAACAGAGGATAAAGCGGCACATGTTTCTGGCAGGGCAAATGGGTCAGGACGTCCCTTTACACACAATGTAACCTTGCCCCAGAATTTGCATTTATTGCTGGGTTCTCATCACAATATCGAGCGATTAACAACTTTACTATCACCTGCCCGCATTGTACTGTACAGGTAGGTCGCTGCCTACTTCTGGGTTTCAGGCGCACCCAATCCCCCCACCCCACCCACCCGCAAAGCAGGGATGAGAAACTTATAATTCTCTTAGTAAAAGCAGCACACTTTACACATAGTTAGGCACACATTTAACACCTTGATTGCCCTAGATGTTAAACCCTTCCTAGCCAGTGTCATTAGTACAGTTTTAGCACTGTATTAATGTCACTGGTGATGTAGGTAGCAGTTAGTGTCAGATTGCCCGCCGCACTCCCATTAAAAATCACTGCTTGCTACCATTAGTAGTATAAAAAATGTTTGCCACCCCCCTCTGCCTATCCCTCCACTGGCTCCCTATCGCCCAACGCATCAAATTCAAACTACTCACTCTGACCTACAAAGCCGTTCAGAACACTGCCCCTAACTACCTAACCAACCTGATTCCCAAGTACCACCCTACCCGTACCCTTCGCTCTTCACAGGACCTCCTTCTATCTTACTCCCTGGTCTCCTCCTCACACGACGTCTGCAAGACTTCTCCAGGTCCTCCCCCATCCTCTGGAACTCACTACCCCAATCCATCAGACTGTCACCTTCCCTCCTCACCTTCAGGCGCTCCCTGAAAACCCACCTCTTCAGGGAAGCCTACCCCACCCTCACCTAACTGCTGCTCTCCTTCATTCCTCCTACCACTCCATCCCCCACAGCCACTTCCTCCTGTACCACTACCCCCTCCCTCCTAGATTGTAAGCTCGAAAGAGTAGGGCCCTATAACCCCTCGTGTGCTGTTTGTAGTTGCTGTCATGTTTCATGTATTGTCCCCCCCTCTATTGTACAACACTGAGCAAACCCTTTGGCGCTATATAAACTCGATGTAATGTAATGTAATAAAAAAAAAAAAAAACTAATTCCAGTATACACCATAGTTTGTAGGCACTATAACTTTCATGCAAGCCAATCAATGTACATTTATTGGGATTTTGTTTTTTCAATCAAAGACATGTAGCAGAATACATTTTGGCCAAAATGTTTGAAAAAAAATTTAATTTTTTTTTAATAGGATAGGTTTTATAGCAGAAAGTAAAAAATATATTGTTTTTTTACTCTTTTTACCACCAAAAGAAAGCCCTATTTATGTGAAAAAAATTATATAAATTTTGTTTGGACACAGCATTGCATGACCACGCAATTACCAGTTAAAATAACGCAGTACAGTATAGCAAAAAAATGGCTTGGTCATGCAGGGGGTAAAATCTTCCGGAGCTGAAGTGGTTAATAGGATTGTGAAAAAACATGGCCCATCCTGAAAAAAAAAAAGTGGTGGGTAGAGTATTAACAGATAAACCTGCAATTATTTACAAGACGGTTGTTATTATTATACAGGATTTATACAGCGCCAACAGTTTATGCAGCAAGGTTCCCTCGTTAAGGATTGTTATGCCATTAACGTGACTGACAGAGAACATTTGCGTTTTTTTTCCAAGAAAGGATTTTTACCCATATAGAACGAATAATTAGTTATAAGAGAATAATTTCTTTTAACTCTAGAGCTACACGGAGGGAACACAAGATTGATACGTGTGTTCCCTTCCTAAAGAAATGCTAACATCTCTGGCTTTCTAAAAAAAAAAGGAAATAAGTGGACCAAACAGCAGCCTGCTTACCGGACATCCTTGTCTATCTGTAGGAGCACCTCATTATCCTTGAAATATGTGTTCCACCGACTATCTGGATTAGGATTGAGAGGCTGAAAAAAAGACAAATACAAATAAAGCACTTTAAGAATAAAATGCAATCATTTTCCCCCTGATGAAGTCACGTGGTCCTGTGACGATACGCGTAGGGGGGGGGCTCTGACGTCACGACGTTGCATCGGAGAGGCTCGGCGATTCCAGCAGAAGCAGAGGCAGACAGAGAGGCAAAGGCAGAGTAATATACATCTACTGCTGATCTTTATACCCACTGCTGACCTGTACCACAATAGTGCCATATACTGCTGTGTATCACCGCACCTGGCAGCAATAAATCACTTTTTTATACAAGGATAAGGCACCATGGTCTTTCTTCTTTGTTTCATTTGATCTATATTCCCCATACTGGTGAAAGGAGGATACGAGGAAGAGGTGTCCCCAGGAGGGGAAATGGGAGATACTCATAGAGCTTGTTAATACTCATGCATGAGCAGTTGCATATGGAGAAAGAGGAGAGCACAGGAGGATTCCAATAGATCTATATTATCCTTGGAACATCTTGCATATGAGCACTATCCCATCAATCCTGGAAGGATTAAAAGTCTATTTGCCTAAATATATTTAGGCAAATATTAAGGTGAGCGCATATTGAGATCACACGGCACCTGGAGAGAGGGAAAAAGGAATTCACCTGCACATTTGCACATATTTATAAAAGACTTTATTTATGCACTTTATTGATTTTTGTACATCCACTAATGAATTTGCACAATATTGATTGATTGATCACACATGATATGTATTACCACAGATTATGATTTTGATTAATTTATAATATATTCTAATTTATTTTACTTTATTTACAAGTCACAGTAATTAATTTGACATAATATTATTTATGTATCAATTTAAGCACCTTTTAGTGTATTTATAAGTGTGAGATCATTTATAATTAAGGATTTTGTAAATAGGAGCGCGGCACTATAAATTAATTTATACAATTGAACAATAGGAACACAATTAAGTGGGTTTGTGTAAGTGCCAGCGAACCTAGCACACCATACAAGTAGATAATAATTAATAGCTTACTGAATACCTCATTCATAATAGCTCACAAGTATTCACTCTTTAACCTCTTGCCGACCGCGCATAGCCGAATGACGGCTTCACCGCGGCCGGCCAGTTCTGAGTGGACGTCATATGACGTCCTCCCAGAACGCGCTCTCCTGCGCGCCCCAGGGGGCGCGCACCCGGCGATCTCCGTGATCGCTGTGTCCTACGGACACAGCTGATCACGTGATGTGGTGAAAGGCCGATCCCACCGGCCTTTTACCACGTGATCAGCGGTGTCCAATGACACGCTGATCACAGGGAAATGCAAGTGCCGGTTCTCGGCTGCACTTTCCTCACGCTGTCAGATCGTGAGGAAAGTACTGCCGAGAACCGGCAGTTGTCAGAGCGAGGATCGGCACCGATCATCAGGGCACTGATGATCAGTGCCCTGATGATCGGTGCCCAGCAGTGACACCCGCAAGTTCCGCCCAGCAGTGCGCCCACTAGCCCCGCCCACCCGTTCCCAGCAGTGCCCCCACCTGTGCCCAGCAGTGCCCCCACCTGTGCCCAGCAGTGCCCCACCTGTGCCACTCTGCAGTGCCACCTACCTGTGCCCAGAAGTGCCACCTACATGTGCCCAGCAGTGCCACCCACCTGTGCCCACCCACCTGTGCCCACCAGTGCCACCCACCTGTGCCCACCCACCAGTGCTGCCCACCAGTGCAGCCCACCAGTGCAGCCCACCAGTGCAGCCAGTCAGTGCCCAGGGGTTGTGCCAGTCAGTGCCGCCAGTCAGTGCCCAGAAGTGATGCCAGTCAGTGCCGTCTATCAGTACCCATCATCAGTGTCACCTATCAGTGCCCGCCTATCAGTGCTGCATATCAGTGCCGCCTATCCGTGACCCCTAATTAGTGCTGTCTATCAGTGCCGCCTATCCGTGCCACCTCATTAGTACTGCCTATCAGTGCCCTTTAGTGCTGCCTATCAGTGCCCATCAGTGCCGCCTATCAGTGCCCATTAGTGCCGCCTCATCAACGCAAATCAGTGAAGGAGAAAAAATACCTGTTTGAAAAATTTTATAAAAGAAACAAATAAACTTTTTTTTTTTTTCAAATTTTTTGCACTTTTTTTAATTTATAGCGCAAAAAGTAAAGCGCCCAGTGGCGATTAAATACCACCAAAAGAAAGCTCTATTTGTGAGAAAAAAATGATCAAAATTTCATATGGGTACAATGTTGCATGACCGCGCAATTGTCAATCAAAGTGCGGCAGCGCTGAAAGCTGAAAATTGGCCTGGTAAGGAAGGAGGTATAAGTGCCTGGTAGGCAAGTGGTTAAAGAATAAAATACCCTTCTAATGCTTTTTCATGTTCATAACTTTAGACATTTGTGTGAACAAAGCCAACATCCTTCATTCTTTCATACTTGCACTTCAACACAACTGATCCTTATGCCGCATTACCCTCAGAAGTCTCTGCTCTGCTGTAATAAGGGGGCTGCAAGAGGCTGGCACTACGGCAGAATAAGATACTTACACTGCTTGCATTTAAAGGATAAGCTCACCTTTCAAAAAATAAATAAATGCATTTTTTTTTGCAGGTAAAAAAATGTGCATTTATTATTTTTTGTAGTAGGAGCCTGGAAAGCATTGCACCAGCGATCGGATCGCTGGTGCCATGTAGGTTTCCTGCAGACTTGTCAGTTTATCTGCTTGTTTGTACACTGCTCAAAAAAATTAAAGGAACATTTTTTAATCAGAGTATAGCATCACGTCAATTAAACTCCTGGGACATTGATCTGGTCAGTTAAGTAGCAGAGGGGGTTGTTAATCAGTTTCAGCTGCTTTGATGTTAATGAAATTAACAACAGGTGCACTATATGGGCAACAATGAGACAACCCCCAAAACAGGAATGGTTTTACAGGTGGAAGTCACTGACATTTTTTTCCCTACTCATCTTTTCTAAATGTTTTTCACTAGTTTTGCATTTGGCAAAGGTCAGTGTCACTACTGGTGGCATGAAGGGATAGCTGGACCCTACAGAGGTTACACAGGCAGTCCAACTCCTCCAGGATGGCACATCAGTACATGCCATTGCCAGAAGGTTTTTTGTGTTTCCCAGCACAGTCTCAAGAGCATGGAGGAGAGTCCACGAGACAGGCAGTTACTCTAAGTCAGGACAGGGCCGTAGAAGGTCCTTAACCCATCAGCAGGACTGTTATCTGCTTCTTTGTGCAAGGAGGAACAGGATGAGCACTGCCAGAGCCTTACAAAATGACCTCCAGCAGGCCACTGGTGTGAATGTCTCTGACCAAACAATCAGAAACAGACTTCATGAGGGTGGCCTGAGGGCCCGACATCCTCTAGTGAGCCCTGTGCTCACTGCCTGGCACCATAGAGCTCGATTGGCATTTGCCATTGAACACCAGAATTGGCAGGTCCACCACTGGAGCCCTGTGCTATTCACAGATTAGAGCAGGCTCACCCTGAGCACACGTGAAAGGGTCTGGAGAAGCCATGGAGAACGTTATGAGGCTTGTAACATTGTTCAGCATGACCATTTTGGTGGTGGGTCAGTGATGGTGCGCAAAACCATGGGCAGAGGGGTGGCGGTGGACGTAGTTTACTTGGATTTTGCAAAAGTGTTTGACACAGTTCCCCACACATGGTTAATGTGTAAAGTAAAGTCTACAGGCTTGGAAAAATCTGTATGTAAATAAATAGAAAACTGGCTAAAAGATTGTATTCAGAGAGTAGTGGTTAATGAAAAATATACTCTGAGTGGTCTAGGGTTGTCAGTGGTGTACCCCAAGGTTTAGTGTTGGGACCCTTACTTTTTAATATATTTATAAACGATATAGGGTCTGAGATTAAAAATCCCATTTCAGCCTTTGCAGATGACACCAAGCTGTGCAGTGGAATAACGTCCTTACAGGAAGTCTCCAACTTACAAGCCAACCTCAATGCACTGTTTAATTGGGCAACTATGTGGCAAATGAGGTTTAATGTTGATAAATGTAAGGTTCTGCACTTGGGGGCTAAGAATATGCATGCATCATACATACTAGAGGGGGTACAACTGGGGGAATCAATGGTGGAGAAGGATCTGGGAGTTCTGGTAGATCACAAGCTTAATAATGGCATGCAATGCCAAGCTGCGGTTTCTTAAGCGAGCAAAATCCTTTCTTGTATTAAGTGGTATAGACTCCAGAGAGAGAGATATCATATTACCCCGGTACAAACCATTAGTAAAACCTCATCTGGAATATGCAGTTCAGTTTTGGGCACCAATTCACAAAAAGAACATTGGGGAACTGGAGAAAATACAGAGAAGGACAACCAAACTGATAAGAGGCATGGAGGAGCTCAGCTATGAGGAAAGATTAGAGGAACTGAATGTATTCTCTCTTGAAATGAGGAGATTAAGGGGGGATATGATCAACATGTAGAAATACATCAGTGGTTCATATAGTGAACTCGGTGTAGAGTTATTCACCCTGAGGTCATCACAGAGGACAAGGGGGCACTCTTCACGTCTGGAGGAAAAAAAATTTCATCTCCAAATACGAAAAGGTTTCTTCACAGTGAGAGCTGTGAAAATGTGGAATAGACTCCCTCAATAGTTGGTTCTGGCCAGCTCAGTGGATTGCTTCAAAAAAGTCCTGGATTCTTACTTGGGAACACAGAATATAACTGGATACTAACATTTATAGGTAAAGTTGATCCAGGGAATATTCGATTGCCTCTCGGGGGATCAGGAAGGAATTTGTTTTCCCTGCAGCAGAAAATTGGATCGTGCTTTGCTGGTTTTTTTTTGCCTTCCTGGACCAACTGTGGGTATAGGATAACTTTTTTTTTTTTTTTTTATATGGTTGAACTGGATGGACTTTTGCCTTTTTTTCAACCAGACTAACTATGTATGTAACTATGGTCTGTGGAGGCATATCCATGGAGGGAAGCACAGACCTCTACAGGCTAGCAAATGGCACACATTAGGTATTGGAATGAAATCCTTGGACCCAATGTCAGACCCTACGCTGGTGCAGTGTGTCCTGGGTTCCTCCTGGTGCATGACAATGCCTGGCCTCATGTGGTGAGAGTATGCAGGCAGTTCCTGGAGGATGAAGGAATTGATACAATTGAATGGCCCCCACGCTCACCTGACCTAAATCCAATAGAACACCTCTGGGATATCATGTTTCAGTCCATCCAATGCCGCCAGGTTGCACCTCAGACTGTCCAGGAGCTCAGTGATACCCTGGCCCAGATCTGGGAGGAAATACCCCAGGACACCATTTGTTGTCTAATTTTGGAGCATGTCCCGATGTTGTCAGGTATGCATACAAGCACATGGGGGCCATACAAAACTACTGAGTACCATTTTGAGTTGCTGCAATGACATTTCAAATACAATGTACTAGCCTGCTGCATCATTTTTTCCCTTTGATTTTCTGGGTGTCTTTGAATTAAGTCCTCTGTAGGTCGATCATTTTCATTTACATCAAACAATGAGACATCCTTACATTCCTAACACATTACCCAGTCCATATCAGTATAGATATCCAGCAGGAGATTTTTCCTTATTGAAATCTGATGTCAATTTTTTTGAGCAGTGTAAATCCCATACGGACAAGCCGATACTTCTAACAGGAGGACTCAATTAACTAACACAGCACTCACAGAGCCGTGCTAGCTCATTAAAGCAATTCTAAAGGTTAATTTTTTTTTTTTTTAAATAACAAACATGTCTATACTTACCTGCTGTGTGCAGTGGTTTTGCATAGAGAAGCCTGGATCCTCCTCTTCTTGGGCCCCCCCCCCCCAGACTCTCCTGGCTCCTCCTGTCTGTTGGGTGCCCCACAGCACGCAGCTTGCTATGGGGACACCCGCTGCTCCGTGTGTCCATTCACACATGTAGCGGCGGCTTGGCCTCCACCCCCTCCTCATTGGCTGACTGGCTATGACTGTCTCAGCCACTAAGGAGGCAGAGACCCGGAACAGCCGAGGTTGTCATTCACATCGCTGGATCGCGTTGAGGCTCAGGCAAGTATTGAGGGGGCTGGGGAAACTGCTGCACACAGATGTTTTTTTTTACCTTCATGCATAGAATACATGAAGGTAAAAAAAACTCAAGCCTTTAGAACTACTTTAGCTCACGCTAAGGCTGTAGGGACTTGTAGTCCATTCATTCACAGAACACTGGGAATGAATGATGCGGCTGCGTGAGCGGAGCCCCACATGGCAGCGCTGTTTTTAAAAAGTGACAGCTAGTACAGGGAACTTCTCCCTGTACTTCTGTTGTCACAGGGTGGGGGAAATGGGTCGAACATGTAACAAGTTCCCAAAGGTGAACTTATCCTTTAAAAATGCATTCAAGTATAGATTAATGAACATGAGCAATATTAATTTGTGTGCTTTAAATATGCCTGGAGTTAAAGTGGTTCAAAGGCTCATTCAATACAAAAAAAAAAAAAAAAAAAAAAAAAAAAAAAAAAAGAAGAAGAATCTTAGGGGTGCAGTTTCCCCCTCAAGCACCCCTTATACTTACCTGAGCCCCATCTCGATCCAGCGATGTGCATGCGATCCAGGGCTCTCCAGGGTCTCTCCCTCCTCACTGACTCCCACAGCAGTGGGAAGCATTGGCTATTGCTGCTGTCAATCACAGCCAATGAGGAGAGAGCGGGGCCAATTCCATTCACAGGAGCACAGCTCAGGGGGAAGGAACCAGAAGCACCTGCAGCGGACCCAAAAAGAAGACGATCGGGGCTGCTCTGTGCAAAACCATTGCACAGAGCAGGTACGTATGACATGTTTGTTAATTAAAAAAAATATATATTTCCTTTAACCCTTTCACTTTAAGCTTTTGGTGGACCTACTGATTTCCTCCGCATAAGCAAAGTACAGGTTCACTTTGTAGCAAATTTTTAGTTTTGGAAGGAAAAGAAAACAATTTTCTTCAGATCCGTTACATACATTGTAAGCATTTCAGCAAAACATATTCCAGGATCCCCACTTACAAAGGTCATTCAGTATCAGGCCAGGCAGTTTGTCCTTTTTACATGTTACATGTTTCATTTTACTGAGGCTTATTATGTATAAAGCCAGTCACTACACGCAAGTTTACATCCAACCTAAACTTACATGGTCTTCCAAAGTAACATCTTCCCTGGACAAGCCATGGTTGGCCTTGGCAATGCCTGGTTGGATGATCATCTCCTTCAGGAAGTGGGCGTAGGTTTCCCTGCAAAAAAGAGCCACAAACTAATGGCCAATCAGAATTAGGCGGCATAACAAGAATGGAGGTATTCATAGTCATACAAACATCAAGGATGTAGCCTTACATGTACAGACTGGAGAGGGTATGGATGTGTGTATTGCCAGCGTAAGAAACAAGTTGCAGATCATGACTTGAGGAGCTATCAGGGGAATATGGCTTTCAATAGAACAATAGGCAAAACCTTTTTTTTTTTTCATTTTGGATGGCGTAAGGGTGGGTTATAACCCCTGCCAGATTTTTTTTTATCGCCATCTGTGTCTGATTGCAGAGATTTCCCTTCACTTCCTGTCCCATAGTCAAACAGGACATGAGAGGAAATCCCTGCAAATTAAAGTAGTTCTAAAGGCTCAAGGTTTAGAACATGCATGAAGGTAAAAAACCTGTGTGCAGAAGGACAAGGAGGCACTCTTTACATCTGGAGGAAAAGAAATTGAATCTCCAAACACGGAAAGGTTTCTTCACAGTAAGAGCTGTGAAAATGTGAAACAAACTCCCTCAAGAGTTGGTTCTGGCCAGCTCAGTGGATTGCTTTAAAAAAAAAGGCCTGGATTCTTTCCTAGATACACAGAATATAAAATGTATAGGTAAAGTTCATCCAGGGAATATCCGATTGCCTCTCAGGGGATCAGGAAGGATTATTTTTTTCCCTGCAGGAGCAAATTGGATAATGCTTTGCTGGGTTTTTTGCCTTCCTCTGGACCAACTGTGGATATGGTTGAACTGGATGGACTTTTGTCTTTTTACAGCCAGACTGTTTTGTGTGTCTATGGATGCACACAGCCCAATTCGGGAATGCTCCTGCAGGAATGCTCCCTTGCTGCTTGCTGAGGAGGTACCTGGAAAAGTGGAGTGGAGAGTGACAACAAAGGACCTCAAAAAAAAAAAAAAAAAAAAAAAAAAAAAAAAGGGAGGTAAGCAGCCCACTGGCAGGAATTACCACTGTCTATTCCCTTCAGCCTTAAAGTCACCTCCACAACGCCTGGCCCTGCAGCAGCCAACGCAGCCAGTAAGGTAGGCAGTGCCACCCACCAGTCTAAAACAGGCAAGACACTCTCAGCTCTCCCACTAAAAAATATTTTTGCTACTGAATCAGCCTCAGAATATACTCATAAACATCTGATCATCGTCATCTGCAGTTTTGCCACTAAAGCCTAGTACACACGACCAGAAAATCGCACATAAAAGCGATCATACAATAATTTGATTGCTGGTACGCAGCTTTCATCTAAAATTATTCGAAGGGACAAGCGCAACATTTTTCTCGTACAATAAAAGATTATACAATTTTTGTTTAATCAGTACAGTTTTCATATGAAAATGCATTACAATACATGACATCACTTCCGAATTTTTATTCTGTCCTAAGAGAATTTTCCTAACTTTAGTAACCTTTTTATCATTGATATGAGACTAGCATGAAAAAAAAAACGGACAATCATTCATCCGATATTCTCACTGTGTGTACGGGGCTTTAGTGTAGTAACAGATAACAATGCCCTCAGGATTGCAGAGATTAGATCAACTCCAGTAATGACCTCGCAAACGGACTAAAATTTCAGCACTGCCGGGTCAACGCCAACAAGTTCCCATGTATGCCAATGTTCCCTTACCTTTGTTTCTTCAGCACAGAATCCCATAATACCCGGTCTGTGGGGAGATAGTTGAGCAGGATCTGCAGTGAAAAAGAGTTGTAGAACATTTTCAGTACTTGTGTATGTCCTGGACTGGGCAAGTCATACTATACGGAGCTACAAACCTTCCAACAGAGACACCGGATGCCTGCTTCGAAGGGGATTCCTGCCAAAGAATAAGGGCAATTATTCACCAAAAGCCAAACCAGCCACGCTTCCATGCTGGAATAATGCTGGAACCGAATTCCTACATTAAACCAGCTTTTCATCACAAAAAACAACCATATGGATCATAGCAATCTACCAAAATCAGTCCTGTATAGATATATGGACTGTGGGTGTTAGACTACCATAATCCACTCATTGATTTTGAATTAAAACTTATTGACGATGATTGAAATTACTGTATCATTCCAGCAAAGACCTGGGAGCATTTAGTGCAGCAGCTTCAGGTGCAGAATATGGCAAATACAGTGCTGAAGGGGACATTTGGTGTTAATGGGTTAGATGATTGTGAAAGGGTATGTGCAACCAAAAAGTGTATTTGTTTTAGGCAGAGTAGGAGAGGGTTAAAGCTGTCTTGTTGGGGAAGCTTCCCTTCACTTCCTGCACAGAAGTGAGAGGATCTCTCTCCAAAGTGAAGAGTATTCCCCTTTAAGACAGCTGTCACTGGGGTCCCCATTGGGAGATTCTTGTTCCCTGTTCTAGTGATAACTGTAAAATTTAGGATTTTCCATCACTTTCTGTCTCAGTGACAACAGTCATCAGGATAAATATAGAGGGTGAATCGCTTTACAGCAAGGGCACAGACAGAAAATAAATACCAGACAGGGGTTCTAGTCCTTCCCTTCTCTGTTCAGAACTAGAAAAAAAAAAGTATTGTGTACAGATACACTTTAAAGTGGTTGTAAAGGCTCAAGTTTTTTTACTTTCAAGCATTCTATGCAGTAAGGTAAAAAAACTTTCTGTGTGCAGCTCCCCCCTCAGCCACACCTAATACTTACCTGAGCCCCATTGTGACCCAGCGATGTGCAACAGAACCTCGGCTTTCCAAGGACTCTCCCTATTCATTGGCTGAGACAGCAGCGGGAGCCACTGGCTTCTGCTGCTGTCAATCACAGCCAGTGAGCCAATGAGGATAGAGGGGGCAGGGCCGAGCCTTGTCTCAGGAGTGAGCCTGCTCTGGTGCCCCCATAGCAAGCAGCTTGTTATGGGGGACCTAGGCAGGAGAGAGGTTCCAGGAGCGCCGGCAGGGGACCCCAAGAAGATGAGGATCGGGGCTGTTCTGTGCACAAACACCGCACAGAGCAGGTAAGTATAACATCTCTGTTATTAAAAAAAAAAGGTCAAGGAGGGTTAGAGCGGAATTAAACTCTAAAAACAAAACCCAGTAGAAGGTAGGGGTTTTTGGCAAAAGAAAAGTGCAAAAGCCTCATCTGCCAGAAAGCTTTTTCTTCATCCTAATAATTCTGTTATGTCATGTGTACATTGTAGATCACATGCATTGTGCAGTGTATACTCTCTGCTCATTCCCAGGAAAAGGTAAGATGCCAGGAATGAGTCAGGTGCCAGGACTGATGCAACTCCTGTGAGTATGCCAGACTGAACAAGCCTTGAACCAGTATTAAACCCTCAGTGGTTTGCAGCTTAACTCATTGAGCTCAATAATATAAGCGTTCCCCAGTAAAAGTATTTTGTTAAAGCGGTACTGAAGTCAGACACTGTCCCCTGCAAGTCAATGTGCTAGTATGCATCACAGACTGGCACATTATAGAAAATGTGAAGCCCTCCAGCGGCATGCTGTCACTGCTGACAGGGCTTCCATCTTCACTGCTCTTCCCTCCAGGTTTGTGGGCTTGGCCATTTGAATGGCTGAGCCGCGATGATGTCACTCCCGCACATGATCGCGGCTCAGAGCACACTGCGCATGAGCTGGTGACATCACAGGCTGCAGAAATAGTGAATATCTCCTAACCGGTGCACAGTTAGGAGCTATTCCTTGTACCCACAGGTAAGCTTTAATATACGCTTACCTGTAAGTAGAAGTCACCAAGCGGTGTTTGCTACCACTTTAAAATTCTTGTCACAGCACTGGCAATTTTCAGTGCTGCTGGCTCCTGCTCTCTCAGTACCGTTTCCGGGAATAACAGAGAAGAGCATAGGAGTGACTTTCCAATCCTAGGGTATGGGGCTGTGTGCTTCTATTGATACATAGAGTGTAGGAAGACAGAACTCTTGTCCCTGCAGACAAGGGTGGCTCCATAGGATGCTGCAATAGCATGTTGCCACCCTGAAACAGGAATTGTTTATAGAAAAACTGTGGAATATACGTTTTGGAGTTTAAGGCTGTACTCACACTAGCACTTTTAGCCGGTCCTGGGCACAGTACAGCCTCTTGGGCACATTCGATTGTGTGGCGTGAGTGCTCCCATCTGCGCCAGACACCACTTGGAACAGGTGGTGTCGTGCACGATTCACTTGCAATCCAGTATGATTTGCTGCAGTGAGAGTGAAAACCGAACCGGAACACAGTTCTCCCCATAGAGCACTAGGGTTTTCAGTCTGAACCTCGACCACGGCATTGCCTGCCTGGAGTTTGCATGTTCTCCCTGTGCCTGTGTGCATTGCCTCTGTATTCTCTGGTTTTATCCCACACTTCAAAGACATTCCTCCCACACTTCAATGTCAGACAAAAAAGCATGAGCAAACGAATGCTGAAACTCCTGCACTGGACGATGAGCTCCACAATGTCAATAACCCCACATGGTAGCAATAGTGGTGTGACCCTCCTGCGCTCCAAATGTGTGTTTAAAACAAACTAAATTAATATATGAACCCCAAACAGCTGCTAGCATTAAATCATATACCAGTGATCAAGTAAATATAAACCATATAAATGCTGCGCTACATTCAAACTTATTTAAGTGAATGTGGAATCCAATAACTCAAATCAAAAAATAGTGACAATAATAATGAAAATAAATAATATGTGCTTAATGATAACAAAATTACCAAATAAACCACCCAAACTAATGAAAAAGCACAAACTTAAATCTATACGTATGTGCATGAGAAATACACATACATATATTACATCACACGTGCACAATGTGAAGTGAAATGATGACTAAATAATAAACGCAAACTCAAAGTCCAATAATGAAATGTTGAAGGTGAACAAAACTGTAAACGGTGTTTCCAATAATACTGTAAGGTGACCACAAGTGAAACAAATCTTGCAGATATCTGGGTGTAGATAGAGCTTATGAATCCAACCACCTTCTGGATTAGCCTCTCACCTCATCACTTCGACCCTTGCGGGTCAAAGAGCAGTAATGGATTCCTCTCACAGATCCACCAGGCACCACAGCACTCCAAAACCACTTTTCAGGATTTAGTATTCCCACTCAGGCTCTTCTCCAAGTATAGTATGTTACCAGGACATAGAAGGTGAATCTCCCCAGGGGAAACACAGATCGCAATAACAATTTCATAGGGAATCTAACCCATGACTTGCTTCCATTGTGAGGATCTTTTAAGAGATCAATAGGAAGGATTTTCCCAACTCCAAAGCTTTGGAGTTGGGAAAATCCTTCCTATTGATCTCTTAAAAGATCCTCACAATGGAAGCAAGTCATGGGTTAGATTCCCTATGAAATTGTTATTGCGATCTGTGTTTCCCCTGGGGAGATTCACCTTCTATGTCCTGGTAACATACTATACTTGGAGAAGAGCCTGAGTGGGAATACTAAATCCTGAAAAGTGGTTTTGGAGTGCTGTGGTGCCTGGAGGATCTGTGAGAGGGATCCATTACTGCTCTTTGACCCGCAAGGGTCGAAGTGATGAGGTGAGAGGCTAATCCAGAAGGTGGTTGGATTCATAAGCTCTATCTACACCCAGATATCTGCAAGATTTGTTTCACTTGTGGTCACCTGTTACAGTATTATTGGAAACACCGTTTACAGTTTTGTTCACCTTCAACATTTCATTATTGGACTTTGAGTTTGCGTTTATTATTTAGTCATCATTTCACTTCACATTGTGCACGTGTGATGTAATATATGTATGTGTATTTCTCATGCACATACGTATAGATTTAAGTTTGTGCTTTTTCATTAGTTTGGGTGGTTTATTTGGTAATTTTGTTATCATTAAGCACATATTATTTATTTTCATTATTATTGTCACTATTTTTGATTTGAGTTATTGGATTCCACATTCACTTAAATAAGTTTGAATGTAGCGCAGCATTTATATGGTTTATAAATAACCCCACATGGAGTACTTTTTGGGAATGCAAGCCTTACTGCCCTCAACAGACCAGGGAAATCCAAAGGAGCTGTGTGCAAAGAAACAAACAGAGGGTGCAGGGACCTAGTGCATTACCTTCTAACAATGAGATTTATTGTATAAAAGTAGTATATAGTAGTAGAGCTCTGAGGAAGAGATTCTGCCTCGAAACGCGTCAGCCATTTGGAGGCCTACAGTCCCTCAACAGCCACCATCTAGGGAGATTGGACCATGCTGTCTTTTTTGTGATGTGCCTTTGATTTTATTCTTTTTGTGAGTATACTACTTTTATTCAATAAATCTAATTTTTAGAAACTAATGCACAAGTCCCCTGCGCCCTCGGATTGTTTCTTTGCACACTTCAAAGTCATGCTGGTGGGTTTTTGTCCCCAGTATGTATAAATGTGAATTAGGGACCTTAGATTGTACACCCCTTGAGGGTTAGGGACTGATGTGAATGTACAATATATATGTAAAGTACTGCGTAAATTGACGGCGCTATATAAGTACCTGTAATAAATAAATAAATAATAAACAGAGCTGTGCAGTAAAACTGGGATCCCTGGCCTGGTTAGCAGGGAAGTATGCCCTGGAACATTTGTAAGTGTTCCCGAGCACACTTTCTTACAAACCAATGTGACTGCAGACCACCAGTGGGGAGGGAGGAGAATCAAACCAGCCATGGTTCACTTTCATGTGGGTTAGCTGTGTTTTCCTATTGACTTCTATTATTATTATTATTATTATACAGTATTTATAAAGCGCCAATAGTTCGCTCAGCGCTGTACATTACAAAGGGGGACAGAAACATGTGACAGAACAATACCAATACAATGCAAAAGATGAGGGGATCGAGGGCCCTGCTCCTTAGAGCTTACAATCTAGGAGGGAGGGGATGGTGGTATAGGAGGAGATAGCTGTGGGGGATGGAGTGGTAGGAAGAGTGGAGGAGGTCGGCAGGTTAGCAGGGGGTGGGGTAGGCTTCCCTGAAGAGATGGGTTTTCAGGGTGCGCCTAAAGGAGAGGAGAGTAGGTGATAATCTGATGGGTTGGGGCAGGGAGTTCCAGAGGATGAATGACACCCTGGAGAAGTCCTGGAGGCGGGCATGGGAGGAGGAGACCAGGGAACTAGAGAGAAGGAGGTCTTGTGAGGAGCGGAGTGTGCGTGTTGGGCGGTACTTGGATATCAGGTCAGTGATGTAGTTCGGGGCAGTATGGTGGACAGCTTTGTACGTCGGTGTTAGGATTTTGAATTTGATCCATTGCGAGTTTGTTAAAGATTGGACTTGGGGCTGGAAGGATAGGTTGGAGTCCAGAATGACACCAAGTACTCTGGCCTGCGGGGCAGGTTTGATGGTGGCATTGTTGGATGTGATGGAGAAGTCAATGGGGGGTGCTGTCCGGGCTATTACATTTTGGTGCGTTTTCTGAAACAGCACCAAAAGCCCTACATGCAGGATTTTTGGTGTAATTTCATAAATCGTACCAAAATCGCGGGACATAATAGAAGTCTATGCAGGGGTGTGGTTTTTTTTTTTTAAAAACTACTTGCCCAGGGACTAAATTGGTGCCCCAATCTACTTGTCCCTCCTGATGATCTACTTGTCCTGAAAAAAAAAAGAAAAAAAAAAGTTTAACTAAAACCGTATTTAATTCTGCTTTAATGTCTGGGGTTTTAAACAACAAAAGGTCAAATTAAATGTTTAATATTTTGAACATTGTGCCGTTTATCTCCTCCTCCCCTCCCATCTCCAGCACTGCACCCGGGGACTAGCAGGGAAGGGAGAGACCCTGCGGTGTAATGAGAACCGATTGGGTGCTTTTCAGGAAAGGGGAGTGTCCAGCTTATACTTTATCCCTTTTGCTGCCAGAGACGTTTTTGCGTTTTTTGCACACATTTTGAAAATCATTTAAGGCCTGAAGAATACACAAAACTCCCTAACATTATATATTTTCTGAAATCAGAGACCCTAGAAAATGAAATTGCGGTAGTTCCAATGTTTTATGTCACTCGATATTATCACAAAGGTCTAGGAAACGCAACATTTCAGTAAAAAAAATACAATTAACTTAATTTTGTGGGCACAAAAAGCAATAAATTAGCAATTTTTTTTGTAAAATATAAAAGATGAGGTTGCATCGAGTAAACGCAGATCCAACATATGCCTTCCTCTGGATCAACTGTGGGTATAGGATTATAACATTTTTTTTTTAATGGTTGAACTGGATGGACTTTTGTCTTTTTTTTTCAGCCAGACTAACTATGTAGCATGTCAAACCTTAAATTTGCATGCGCTTGTGAAACGGCAACAAACTTTAGTAACCCTATATTTTCTATAGGTGACGCTTTTAAAGCTCCTATAGGTCATCAGTTTAGCATTACGGAGGAAGTCTGGTGCTAGAATTATTGCTCTTATTCTGGCGTGCATGGCGATATGTAACATGTATATCGCAATTGACGATTTCACGCGTAGACATATAAATATATATATAATTTTTTTTTTTTTATATCACATAGGGGACAAAAAGTCCTCCATGTGATGATTTTTGGTGACAGGTTCTCTTTTTTGAGACCCTGCATATCTCCCCTGTACTACACTGGATGTAACAGTGCACGTCACACTGCATTACATTCTTTCCTGGCCTTGATGGACGGGAATCTGTCAACGGGGACCCAGAAGTGATGTCACATCACCTCCTGGTCAGGTCAAGAAGGGGAGGGGAGTGAATGTGTCCACTCTCCTACCTCCCACAGGCACCCACTGAACTGGTCCCGTCGCAGGCAGGGGGGAGCTGAGACTGACACCACAGTGGGCTGTGTGGAAGCAATCAGGCGGCAGCGATGCTGTCTCAAATGCTTCCATCTGAGAGGTGAGCCCGCTGCTTGCCGCAGCAGGGCTAAAGGAAAAAAAAAAAAAAAAAATCTACCTGCTTGGCGCCCGAAACTACATGTCACAGGCATACGGCGATATGAATTGAACATTCCTGCTATGGGAAAGTGCAGCTAACTTGCATGAAAACCACAGTACACTGCGTTGCACGTTTTTTTTTAGACAGTTAATTATCTCCTAAGTAAATCTAACTTTAGTCAATGTGAAACTAATGAGGGTTTGCCAACGCTGTGGAAAAGAAAACAAAGGCTCAAAGTCCAGCTGAGACAAGACGCCTTACCGTTAAAGCAAAGTTCCCTCAACACAGGCAGCTTGATGAGCGGTTCACTGACAATGCTCTGGAACTCTGCGATTCTGCAAACAGACAAAAATGTCATCAGATTAGTACACATTGCCTCTAGTCCAGGACTCCAGATCAAATCTGCTCCATTCATTCTGCAAACAGGGCAAGGTTATCAGGGTGTTCGCCCCTACATTGACAGATGTCATTGCTATGTATCGTATGAGAGCCTACATTGACAAATGTCATTCTGTATCGTATGAGAGCTTACAGTGACTGATGTCATTGTTCTGTATCGTATGAGAGCCTACATTGACAGATGTCATTGTTATGTAACGTATGAAAGCTTACAATGACCGATGTCATTGTTATGTATTGTATGAGAGCCTACATTGACAAATGTCATTCTGTATCCTATGAGAGCCTACATTGACAGGTATTGAACTTTCAGCTCCCTCCACAGATTTTCAATCAGTGTAAGGTCTGGAGACTGGCTAGGCCACTCCAGGACCTTAATGTGCTTCTTCTTGAGCCACTCCTTTGTTGCCTTGGCCGTGTGTTTTGGGTCATTGTCATGCTGGAACACCCATCCACAACCCATTTTCAATGCCCTGGCTGAGTGAAGAAGGTTCTCACCCAAGATTTGACAGTACATTGCCCTGTCCATCATCCCTTTGATGCGGTGCAGTTGTCCTGTCCCCTTAGCAGAAAAAACACCCCCAAAGCAGAATGATTCCACCAACATATTTGACAGTTGGGATGGTGTTCTTGGGGTCATAGGCAGCATTCCTCCTCATCCTCCAAACACGGAGAGTTGAGTTGATGCCAAAAAGCTAGATTTTGGTCTCATCTGACCACAACACTTTCAACCAGTCCTCCTCTGCATCATTCAGATGTTCAGTGGCAAACTTCAGACGGGCCTGGACATGTGCTTTCTTGAGCAGAGGGACCTTGCGGACACTGCAGGATTTCAGTCCTTGTCGGCATAGTGTGTTACCAATTGTTTTCTTGGTGACTGTGGTCCCATCTGCCTGGACATCATTGACAAGATCCTCCTGTGTAGTTCTGGGATGATTCCTCATTTTTCTCATGATCATTGACACTCCACGAGGTGAGATCTTGCATAGTGCACCAGACCTAGGGAGACTGACAGTTGTTTTGTGTTTCTTCCATTGCGAATGATTGCACCAACTGTTGTCACCTTCTCACCAAGCTGCTTGGCGATAGTTTTTGTAGCCCAGTCCAGCCTTGTGTAGGTCTACAATCAGTGGGAGCCATACAGGGGCATTAGCTCCAGTAACTGCCTCCCTGGTGCAACTATCGCCCTCCCTGTGCACCATACATTTCCCCCTGCTGCCCAGGCCCCCCAGTGTCGTTCCCCCCCCCCCCCCTCCTGCAGTTCTGCCGGCTTCCCTCCTCTCCTTCCCACCAACAGCTGCAAGCGCACAATAGGATCCTTCAGAATTGAGAGTGGGGGAAGGGTCCGAATATGCCACATTTACATACCCCTTCCTTTTCTGAATGAACACAAGTGATGGTACCGATCATTCATGGTATTCATTCATAACTGAAGCATAGTAACCTGTGTCTGTTTGTTTTTCGGAGGGGGGGCACTGTCAGGTTGGCTGTATGGGGCCCTGTGGTTTCTAACAGCAGCCCTGGTAGTCTTCGCTTCTTGCTTTGAAGTGCTGCACAATTTACTGCTCAGTCTCAAAACGCAAGTCTATTGGAGAGATTTACTCAAACTGGATCACTGAGAATCTGGTACATCCGAGCATGGTAACCAATCAGCTTCTAACTTCAGTTTGTTCAATTAAGCTTTGGCAATAAAATCTGGAAGCTGATTGGTTTCTTTGCAGAGCTGCACCAGATTTTGCACTCTCCAGCTTTAGTAAATAATATCTATGTCTCATCTAAATATACTACAATATTTTTAATAATTATACATTATAATTTAATAAATACATATTATAATTAATATTTCTATTATCACAGTATATGGCTTCATGCACACGTGCCCCTGGGGCTGCAGAACATAAATTTGGGACGTATTTTCCCACCCAGGAGCACCAGGTGCTGTGTATAGCTGCCCATAGAAATCAATTACAGTTTGAGATGTAGGTGGGTATATGGCAGTAGATATGTAAGCATGAGTACGGACGTATGCCTCTGGATGCAGAAAGTCTGTGTTCAGGGGCGTACTTTGGTAGGCTGAGCATACCTGCGTGCAGCTGCATCCTGCAACTGATTTCTATGGACAGCTGTACGCAGCAGCTGTGGCTCCCCGTTAGGGAAATACACCCAACAGATGGAAGAATAATTGAACTGAGCCAGTGAGAGCTCCCTCTAGTGATATAGCCAAACTTCTCCATTTATTACAAAATGATAAAAAAACACAAATTTTTATACACACTACAAAAATGATCACCAGATCTGTTCCACATGCGTTTCTGGTTTTTACGACATTTCTGATGCGTTCTGGTGTATTTTTATGCATTCCAGATGCTTTTTTTTGCATCTTTTTCACTGTACTAGAGTCTTGTGTGTATTTATGCATTTTACCACATTCCAGTACAGTCCAGTGCAGGAAAAATGAAGCATGTTCTATTTTCTTTTTCTGTAACTGGAATGCCCTGGAACTGACTGCACTGGTGTGAACTATGCTGTTGGAAACCATATAAACTACTTTCCATGTGTTTTTGATGCAGGAAAAAAAAAAACACACTGGACTACATGTGATGTGAACTGGCCCTAAATTTTTGAAAATGAATTCCAATGGGCCTCTTTACACCTGAGAGGTACAACGCAGGGTGTTGACGTGCATTCTGTTAAGTTAGCACACCGATTTAAATTGGATGTCTATATACTAAGCGTCCCACCAGGGATAAATGCACAGAACAGGAGGCAGACAGACTGCATCCAAGGCCATGCATCCATTCCTGTACAGCTACAATTGCTCACATGTGCAGGGAGATCCATAGAGCCCCTTCTGCCATTGATTTAGTTTTAACCAGTTGCTGGCAGCAGCCGCACAGAGCATTGTCACCTTTGGCTGCATAAACATACAGTGTACAGACCTCCATGCTCTTGTGAATGAGCCCCTTGCTGAAAACGAACTCCACTTTTTGCCTTCCTCTGGATCAACTGTGGGTATAGGATGATAACTTTTTTTTATTTTAATGATTGAACTGGATGGAGTTTTGTCTTTTTTTCAGCCAGACTAACTATGTAACTTTCCCTTTCAGCAGTACAGGACGTTTATTCCTTGTTTAAAGTGATAAGCACTCCAGCTTATTTTTAATACACACCCTAAGGGCTCAACATCGCCGATCATCCTGTCATTGTTTTCTTTACATCACATGAAGAGGATCTGGACAGATCATACGACTTTACACAGCAGCATAACCTTGCACTGATGAAACCACATAGGTTGTGAATTTTTCTTCCGAGAAATTTGAGTGCAAACTTTTAGTGTTTTGTTTTTGTTTTTTTTTAATATGCAGACTTTTACATGCATGTGCTCATCTGTGTTAAATGTCTGAAACAATTATTAACCACTTAAGGACTGCCTACAGCCTTTTTTAAGGTGGACGGGCAGCTGTGCTGCACTGGATCATGTACACGTATGTGATCCACCATTTCTGGGTAGAGGCCGCGTGTCTGTTGCCCAATTTATGGCAGGGACCTGCTGATTGACTTGGCCAATCACAGTACAGATCCCTGTGTTTAATAACAACACAGGGCTCTGTACAGAGATGAGAGATGTGGCTGTGTTTTCTCCCTGCAAAGCAGGTAGAAAAAACATCCACTTATATTAGTAAAAGCAGCACACATTACACATTGTTAGGCAGACAGCTAACCCTTTGGTTGCCCCTAGATGTTAATCCCTTCCCAGCCAGTGTCATTACTACAGTGACAGTGTGCAGTATTAGCACTGATCACTGTATTAGTGTCACTGGTGATGTCAGTGTCTTTCAGTCAGTTCCCACCCAGTATCCGTTAAGCTCTGTACACACGATGAGAATATCAGACGAATGATTGTCCGTTTTTTTTTGGCATGCTAGTCTCCATATCGAAAACAAAGAAGCTACTAAAGTTACGAAAATTCTCGTACGACAGAAAAGATGCAGAAGTGATGTAATGCATTTTTTATTGTACTTTCAGATGAAAACTGTGCTGATTAAACGAAAACCGCACGATCTGGTATCGTACAGGAAAAATGTTTGTGCTTGTCCCTTCGAATAATTTCAGACAAAAGCTGTGTACTACCAATCAGATTATTGTATGATCACTTTGAAAGCGGTATTTTACGTAGGATTTTCTGGTCGTGTGTATTAGGCTTTAGGGTCAGATTGCCTGCAGCACTATCACAGTCCTACTATAAGTAGCTGATCACTGCCATTACTAGTATAAACCTTTTCTATCACCAGCCCCTCCCTCTTAGATTGTAAGCTCCAAGGATCAGGGCCCTCCTAACCCTCTTGTATTGAACTGTATTGAACTGTATTGTCTCCCGTTATATTGTAAAGCGCTGAGCAAACTGTTGGCGCTATATAAATCCTGTATAATAATAATAATAATAGGTAAAAATTCTAGTATATATACCATTTTTTGTAGACACTATCTTTTGTACAAACCTATTAATATACACTTATTGAGATTTTTGTTTACCAAACACATGTAGCAGAATACATTTTTTCCTACATTTATGAAGAAATGTAATTTATTTTTTTTGGATATGTTTTATAACAGAAAGTAGAAAATATTGGGGGTTTTTTTTCAAAATTTTTGTTCTTTTTCCGTTTATATCATAAAAAAAAATAGAAAACCCAGTGGTGATCAAATACCACCAAAAGAAAGATCCGGTTGTGTGGAAGAAAAAGTTTTATTTGCATACAGTGTTGCATGATTGCTCAATTGCCAGTTAAAGTAGCACAGTGCCGAACTGCAAAAAAATGCCCTGGTCCTAAAGGGGTAAAATCTTTCTGAGCTTAAGTGGTTAATGGCTCAGTCATGAAAATTGCGGCTCGCTCATGACAATTTGTAACGCTGCAAAGCCACAAGTTTAGTTTTCAT